CCAAGCTGCTATGTCAAACACTAACACATGAAATCCTCATGTCTTGGAATAGTATGAATCAGAAAAAATATTATCTTTTTCCTCATGTGTTATTACTCTTAATTTCTTGTTTATTTTATGCTTGAGAAAAAAAGAAAATGTTAAAGCTTTAATTTCTTGAATAATATATTTCTAAATTATTTTGAAATAGGATCTTAATATATAACCAGGGCCAGATCTAAACTCACTATGGTCTTGCATCCTCAGTACTTTTGCCCCAGCCTCTTGGATGTGGTTTAGTGACTTTATGTTATATTTGGGGTGGTTAGTGGGCCTTGAACCTAATACCCTGTGGATGTTAGAAACTGACTTGTGGATGTTATAGTTATTAAGTTATAGCACCAGCAAGATATATAGTTCTCACTGAGCCAGGGGCTTACTGCTCCCTTAAATATTGATTTTTTTTTTTTTTTTTTTGAGACAGGGTTTCACTGTGTTAATTTGAGCTAGCCTTTAATTTGTGATCCTCCTGCTTTAGCCTTCTCAGGCTGGTTATTATGGGTATGTTCTATTACTCTGGCTGCAATATTGGCTGTGTTTGGGTTGCTCAGATGGGTAATGTTAGATCAAATAATGTTTTTCTTTATTTATTTAGGCAGGCCTCTAACCTGCTATGCAGCCTGAACATGACCATAAACTTCTGATCCTTCTGCTTCTAGCCTGAGTGCTGGGTTCTGATTCTGTGTCATCATGCCCCGTTGGTGCAGTGCTAGTGACAGAATCCAGGCCCTAGTGCATGCCAGGCAAGCTCTTTATTGACTGAGTTACATCCTCAGCTCCATAATTAAAGTTTTGGTCCTGTGAAGTGACTTTTCCAAAGGACTGTGGTGTATGTTGATGTGAAGATAGTGTTGCTTCTGACTCTCCTAAGGCACAATCACACATGGTATCTTGCTGCTGCTTTGTTGTTAATTTCTGGGCACAGTTGGGCATGCGTGTTGCTTGGCTGATAGTGACTGTAAATGTCTGTTAATATCCTTGGCCTAATTTCTTTTGATTCTTTGTCTTCCTAAACAGTTGGGGAGTGCTTTTCACTTGGAGGGCTATTTTCTTTATCTGTTTTAGGATTATTGAATTTTGGTTTATATTTATTTGAATGAGTTTAAGGAAAGTATAACCATATTGGATGATATTTTTAAAGTAGTTCACGAGTACGAGTAAAAACATGTTCTAAGAGACACTTTACTGAGAAATTAGTGAGAACGATAGAACAATATTGACACAAACATAGGCAACCTCAGAAGATTAGTGCTCAGGGACAGAGGTGAGTATTTTGGGATCTTAAAGTATGATTAAGGTATATCTCAACTGAATGAAAGAAAATAATAGATTGTTTAGCAATTCAGTTTAGATAATAAGCATCCATCTATTAGAAAATAGCCCTTACATTCTGACAAAAATAAATTTTAGACAAATCAGGGAGCTACATTGAAATGTTGAATTCTTTTTTTGTTCCTATACTCCTGGCACTGGGGACTGAACCAAGGTCCTCATGCATGCTAGGTAAAGCTCCGCTGCAAAGCTACACCTTTAAATAGTTTTTGAGGTTTGTAGTGATCTTGCTGAGTTACTCAGGATGCCTTTGACTTGTCTAGCAGGGTTACCGACTGGGTCACCATGTCTAGCTGAATTCTTAAGTGCCTGAAGCAATTCTCTACATTTATTCCTGCCAGTACATTTATGATACTCTGAGATTGATCATTAATTTGTATTTCTCTGTAGAGTATAATATACTCTGAAAGGATATTCTTACTCATTTGTTGTACCTTCATTGGATGAGTATGATGCTACCACACAGTAGGAATTCTGAAAAATTGTTTATATAATTGGTGAATGAATTTATTTGTTCTTCTAATTCTGGAGTCTGTTTTCCGTTGTTACGGAAAATTATCCTAAGCCTGTAGCAGTAAATGCCACAGAGAGGTGTAACGAATGGTTCTTCCCACCAGCCTGGTCCCACAACCACGTCAGCCTCAAATACATAGACACAATTACATTGTTGGCTGATGCCTAGGACTTCTTATTGGCTAGCTCTGTCTTAATTATTAACCCATTTCTATTAATCTTAAGTTTTCCCATGTGGTCTTATCTACTGGAGAAGGGTTCAGAACTCTAAATCCTTTGGCAGCTCACATGGTGACTGCTAGGCATCTCTGTAGAAAAGAGAGCGATTTCCTGTTTGTCCCTGCTTTTATCTTGGTTCTGCCCAGCTACCTCACTTCCTGTCTGTCTGTACAGACTTGCAGACCTCTATGGTTAGCTAGTGGCAAGTTTCCGTCCAGCTACATCATTTCCTTCCTGTCTGGCCATAAAGCCAGTCAGTGTTTTATTCATTAACCAATAAGAGAAACAAATACACAGAAGGACCTCCCCCATCAGAAAGACAGTGGTCTGAATTAGGAACCTGTTAGTGGATAGGAGAGCAATAGATTACATACAGAGTTAGTAGGTAATAGACTCAAAAAGACCTTAGTGATTGAAAATAGATCCAAAGGAGGACTTGCAGCTAATCAACGTAATCTAGTAACTTGTCTCTCTAATGACAAACTGCCATTGAAGATACAGTTTATTTTCATCTGTTTTTCTCTTGAGAGTTTTGTGGACTTTCTTCCTCCCCCCCCCCCCAACATGATGGAGTCTTTCTTTATTAGCAGCCAGTTTCCTTCTAAGAATGAAGTAAAGGAAGACAGTGAATTCAATTTAGGAAGCAAGAAAAATGTAGGAGTACTTTCATATTTATCAGTTTTTATTCTGTCTTTATCATGGGAGACATTAAGTAAAAGCACATTGATAGTTTGAGAGGGATAAGCTTGGAGTTTGAGTAATAAAGGGAAGCAGAGAATAGTATATGGATAAAGGTTCTTAAAAAGATAGCTTTGGAAACCTCAATTTGAATGCTATCACTAGAAAAAAATGAAATAGTAAGTATTTTTAGAAATTTAATTAATTCCAGCTATTTTATAAGTCTGATGTAATAAGAATAGCTTGCCGTATCAAGGCCCTTGGTGTATGGCCTTCCATCTCTTTATCCCATGGGCATATCCTCAGGGTTTGGTACATAATTCCAAGTGGCACTCTGTAAACATATAGTAAAGAGTGAGTTGTGTTGTGTGACTTTCTGTACATATGTATGAGTCTACTTTAATTGCACCCTTTTTGTACCTTAAAGTCTTTTTTGCTATAGTCTTCATTGAACTTTTTGTAAATTAAGAGATAAATTTTCTTCTCCACAACTCTATTTCTTGTAACCTGATAACATTATAGAATTTTATTACACTGCATTAACTTGTTATAAGCTTCATGGTAGAGCTAGTAAAATATTAGGCCTCTTAAACACAGTAAGTTATCTGTAGACCAGGAATGAAGTATAATTTCCAATCTTTAAAAGATATTAAATTAGTTTCTTTGACACACATTCTCTCTCTCTCTCTCTCTCTCTCTCTCTCTCTCTCTCTCTCTCTCTCTCTCTCTCCCTCCCTCCCTGTCCCTCCCTGTCCCTCCCTCTCTCTCCTTCTTTCTTAAAACAGTGTTTCTCTCTGTAGCCCTGTCTGTCCTGGACCTGACTCTGTAGACCAGGCTGGCCTCAAACTCAGAGATCTTCCTGCCTCTGCCTCTGCCTCTGGAGTGTTGGGATTAAAAGCATGGGCCACCACCACCTAGCGACATACATTTTGCATGCTTAAAATGTTTCAAGTATCAGTTCTCACTCCCTCTCTGTCCTTCTCCCATCTCAACCACCCCATTCCCTCCCCATGAACTGGGATTGGTATGTAAAATGAGAAAAGATTGTTTTAAAATTAAAAAAAAATGATAAAAAGGTAATTTTTTAAAAAAAACTTCCACAATGGGGAAAATTTTTTCAAGTATCAGATTGAAAGATTTTTTTAGAGATAACAATTCTGTTTTTAATAGAATTAATTATAGTGTATAAGATATATTCCATTCCATTGAATATAAGGACATAACCAGGCAGTCTATGAGCACAGAATCCTATTGTCTTAAGTATTTAACCCAATTCTTATTCCTTAGAAGAATGAAATGATTTTTAAAGCCAAATTTAAATCATAATGTACACACAGTGATAGCCTTGAAATGTTTCATCTTGTAATAACTCATCATTGAGCTGGAGAGATGGCCTAGTGGCTAAGAGTACTTGTCGCTCTCACAGAGGACCTGTCATTTGTTCCCAGCAACCACATGGTAGCTTACAAGTGCCTGTAACTCCAGTTCCAGAGATCCAATACCCTTTTCTGACCTCCATAGGAACTAAACACATTTGTAAAAAGACATATGCAGACACTCACTTGTACTCAAAATAAAAATTGAGAAAATCTTCAGAAAAAAAATAAAATCATTGTAACATCAAGGCATGCCAGGTGGTACATATGCATATGGACATGCATAAGTAATAAACACTTGAAAACAATCTAAAGTATAACAGAATCTATAACATCATCTGTCATCTAACTCAGCCTGGTGAAACTCTGATATGTACCCTTACCCTTCTTTGGTACGTATGTACATACATGCGCACGCACACACACACACACACACACACGCACGCACGCACGCACGCACGCACACGCATGCATGCATGCGCGTGCACGCACACATACTGAGAGAGGTAGGTCTAAAGTGGGAATGCTTCTGTTTATATATATTTGAGAAAAATCCATTCTGGAAGTGAATGATACTATCATTTACTTGCCAAGGACAAAAAGCAGCAAAAATTGTAATCTTGTCTTTTATACCAAGTTTTAAAATTTTGTTTCATTGCTTATGAAATTTAGAAGTCTTACTATTATTAATGATAATTATTTTATATACTTAAATGTGAGTTAATTACACAAATAATGAACCTTCATAAGTATTCAGCCTAGTCCTAGTTGACCCTAGGATGCATTAAGTGTGTTAATTTTCATCATAATTATTTACTGAGTACATTTTATGTTTGTTCACAGTACCTGGTTATGGATTATTATGTTGGTGGGGATTTGCTTACTCTTCTCAGCAAATTTGAAGATAGATTGCCTGAAGACATGGCTCGGTTTTACTTGGCTGAGATGGTGATAGCCATTGACTCAGTCCATCAGCTCCACTATGTACACAGGTGAGTTAGCCAATCTGCCATTCCATCTGTCTGCTAAGATATTATATCTAAAAACAGCTCTGTTGCTGCCAAATTATTAATTATGGTCTTAGTTTAACCTCATTTTGTTTTATTTTAAGATTGTTTTGGTTTTGTGTTTTTACTGTTACTATTTATCTGCATTACTGATGTGTCTGTTTGTTAGTCTATACATAGATACTATCTACATATGCTTTCTTGCAGTCAACATTTTTGTGGAAGGCTTTGAACATACTCATAACTGAATTTGCATGTAATACCCTTCCCAAAAGGAGTATGCAGCAGTCAGTTTCCTTATAGTTGGTTCTTACATACTGATGTTAGAATTCTAGGCTGTAATAACTAATAGACTTGTTATATATAATTTATTTTTCTCAAGAAAAGACTTGGGCTGGGGAGATACTCAAGGATTAGGCTCTGAGTTTGGTTCCCATGTAAACACCATGTAAAATCAGGACATGGCAGCAAATACACACTGGGGTAGAGAAATGCAGATCCCTAGAGACAGATGGCTGGCCAGCCAGTCTAGCCAGATTGATGAGGTCCTGGTGCATCGAGAGAACTTGTCTCAGAAAGTAAGGTAGACACCCTACATTTACCTCTGACCTCACATACACACGTACCCACATGTACATACTCAAATGTATACACACACAGAAGAAAAGACCTTAAAGGATTACATAGATATAAAAAGGGCTTTTTTGTTAAAAGACACTGGTAGTTCTGATGTTTTTTTGCATAATCTTATTACAAAGTGTCAAATAATTTATCATTTATACTTTTTTCTACATGAGTTAGGCTTGGTGGTATATACCTGCACATGTAGCACTTGAGAAGTTGAGGCAGGAGGATCCGGAGTTCAAGACCTACTTTTGTTATGGAATGAGTTAGAGGTCACCCTGGACTACTTGAGACACTGTTTCAAACAAAACAAAACAAAAATATGAAAATTTGATTTTTTTTCTGTGTGTATTACATACCATTTATTATTGGATGAAAAAGTAGGTCTGTTTACAAAATGTTTTTTTATATAGGATTTTTAAAGTATAATAAAATATCAAAGAACATAGAGTGATTTTTAAAAAAGTATGATTTCATGAGGTTACCAGGGAACGAGTCGTCACTGAATAGTGCAAAGTATGAGGAAGAGAGAGATGCTGAGATAGTCAAGGTCTACTGCTGTGCTGGGAAGGAACCAGTGCAATGAAAGTTAGACTTATTTATTTATTTATTTAAAGACAGGATCTCACTTTATGTATGTAGCTAAGACTGGAACTTAGTTCTCCTGCATCAGATTCCAAGTGCTGGAATGCTAGTCATGTACTACCAAAGCATGGTCTTTATCATGAGAATACTAAATATGGTGCTACAGACCTTAGACTGTACCTTGGCATCTATGAAGTTACTGTTTGTGGGAGTCTTCAAGTTGGACATACGTTTATTTCATTTTAAGTATCCTTTTAGATTTCATAAATTCAGCCTGTACTTTTGGGTCAGGTGCGTGGTGGAAGTGGACAAAGTCCTCCCTCCTTTTGAGGAGCCACTTGAAGGTGTAGAACTAACAATAGACTTGAATTAAGTGAGAGTAAAAGCAGATTTTAAAAACACTTGTGAAAACCATGTTCCTAAACGTTGTGGAGATTCAGAATGAAAGGTCGTTAAACAAATCACTCAGGAAAACCTGTTGGAAGAATCTGTGTCCACTTCATAGTCAATGGCAATTTCCTTCTGTAACTGTAAAAAAGCTATTTTCACTTGTAGGAAACTCCAAAGAATTCATTTTGCTGCTGTTTCCTCACAAGAAATCTTCAACATCATACTTCAGAATTTGGGGAAATGATAACAAAAGAAAACCTGAGCATTCAGGAAGGAAAAAGAACAGTGAATAGTAAAATAGTCTGTAAACACTATTTTCACTATTATATTCCTGAGCACATGTGCTCATTTAAAGCAAATGCTTGCTGAGGTACTCAAGGAGTGAATGTATGCCATATTCAGTGACTGTAACATACGGGCCGCATGGACCATAAATTCCAAGCATAATTACTTACCTTTAAATAAAAGGAAAACTGGGGAGTGGGAGAGCCAAGTGGCTTATGTGAGAAGGAAAAATAAAAAAAAAAAAGTTTATTATTAAATTTGCAGTGGCAAAGTTGTTTTGTTTTTGTATTTTTTCTTTGAGATGGAGTTTCTCTGTATTGTTTTGTAGCCTCTCCTAGAACTCACTTTGTAGACCAGGATGACTTCAAACTCACAGAGATCTGCCTGCCTCTGCCTCCCAAGTGCTGGGATTAAAGGTGTCTGCCACCAACGCCTGGCTCAGTCACAAAGTTTTGTGACCAAAAATGCATTAAGTATTTATGATATCCAAAAAATAAAACTGTGAACAATACCGACTTGTAGGTGTAAATAGACCATGCAGAAATGTTAGAGAAGTTAAGGGATGTTGTTGCAATGAATTCTTCATTTTAGTTTACTTGAAAATCAATCAGAATAAGGACTGGTGGTCTTGGACTGGAGAGATAGCTCAGCTGTAAAAGACTAGGCTCACAACCAAAAATATAAGGACTGGTGGTCTTTATTAGTTACTTATTAACTGAAACAAAGAAAAAAAAGATCAAAAGGGAAGAATAAAGTATTAGTAGCTACAATAAAGTTGCAATAATTGGGAGATTTATGCAAATCTTTTTCAAATGGTTTTCAGTAATTGAAACAATGATGTAATGTGAAGTAATATATGTTAGTCTATAATGTGAAGTAATATTAAAGAAGGTAACTGAAAATCCTGTAGTTTTGAATTTGCAGTATCAGCATGAACCTGTGGAGCATTTTATCTTTGAATACAACCCCACTCCCTTACTAAAAAAGTCTAGAAGCAGTGGCCAGCAAACTAGTAGTGACTATTCCTTTTGGCAGGTTGTGATTCTCAAATAGTCACTTTTTCGGGGAGTGAGAGGGGAGTCCTTGTCTACACTAGAGTTTCAGGATGCACCAGAGTGAAGCATAGGTGAGTCTGATAAGTAGTTGCAGTTAACTGGTGTGGGAAGGGGTCTGTAGGGGGGTTTGGTGTCTTTACAGCGGAATAGTGTGTGTGAGCTATAGCTTTCTGAGTTACATTTCTCAAACAATGTCCTTTACAACAAAATATATTAAGCCTTATATTAAGACTGGAAGAAGCAACCCAGTAGGAGAGCAGGCACAAGAGTCAGCCCCTGATCCACTGTTAGGAGTCCAAGAAGACAAGGCTTCTTAAACGGGTTAAGATCTTTAGGGTGACAACCCTAAAGTACCACTGCCACTGCAACTGCAGTTCTCAGGTAGTAGCTTGTATATAGTCTTGGGATGTAATGTATTTTTAAAAATGCATCCTTAACCCCCAAACCAAAGACCAGAGTTAGCTTATTTCTCTGTACTCCCATTTTCTCCTTATAATTTGTTCCATATTCAAGACTCACAATTGAAATTTTATTATTCTTCTCTCCTTGATTTGAATAATGTTAGATAATGCTGTTAATTTAGAGTAAACACAACCAGGGATCAGAGAAACAGACCAGTGCTGTTTAATTAGGATTTGTAGAGAAATACCCTATAGTAAACCACAGAGAGAGTTTTGTCCCTTGTCCCTTAGGACTTCATGAAGAATAGGTGTGGGCCAAGCCTTTTCCAGGTTTTGGGCTGATATTATGTCCTTTAGCGTGGGTTTTTGGAGATTATTGGTGGCCACTTCCCCACTTGGTATATGAAAAATCATCACCATTACATATTCTTGAACTACTTTGAAGCCTGAAGCTCAAGAGGGGACATCGTTTTATCAGTGTAGACTCCCCCCTTTTACTATGCACACAATAATACTTTTAGCAAAATTAAGAGATAATTTTAACATTCAGTCCAGTTGTATTATAATGCAGTATGCTTTTTAAAGCATGTAGTATATAAAGAAGTATAGTCTGACTAAAAAGTAAAATTAATCATTCTTTTGAAAGACACTCTTCCAAACTATATAAACAATACAGATGTAGGCAAGGTTGGCAAGATGCTTAGTAGGAAAAAGAAATACAGGTCTTAACTTAGAATTCAGAGGCAAAACCTGCATAGCATTCTGACTCATGATGTCTGACTTGTGGCCTATGTAGTGGAATTAAATAACCTCTCTAGTTAGTTTAATGGTTAGCTAGAGTTAAAAATTGCTACTTTATAGATTAACTAATACTGACAAATTCACATTTTATTATTATATTATAATATTTGTATAATCATGCTTCTGGCAGTTGAATGCTTTAAAAATATTTCCCTGTTATAAAATAAAGATGTGCACCTCTTATAAATAACTAATTTTGTTGTCTTGAAATAATGCTCTTCTGAGATAGTCATGGCTGGCACATTAGGCTGGAGTAGCCTTGACAATCATGCTGTTCTTTTTAAGCCCAATGTTACTTGCTTTTGATTAATAAGGAAAGTTAATGATTTTAGAAGTTTTGTAGGTAACTGATTAGATTGATATTCAAATTAGAGAGGCAGGAATAAAGTATTTATGAGGGTAATGTAGAAGTGTCACCCTTTCTAAGCACTTCTCTTACTTTTCGTGGATTGTGAAAGTTGTGACTGATGTCTTGCCTTGGTTTACCTCTCCCTCCCTTGTTGGCAGTGTGTGGCATCTGGGTGGCCTGCTGCTACCTTATTGCTAGATGTCACTGACTCAGGATTGATCTGAATGCCAGATGTCGTTTTTTTTTTTTTTTTTTGTTTGTTTGTTTGTTTCTTATATCAGAAATGTAATTTGTTGTCCTGTTATTGCACTTACCAGTTATGTGTTCTCCAGAAGCAGACACTGAGTCCTCATGTGTGATGGGAATGCTCATTAGGAATTAACATCCATGAAAGGACCAGAATTGGGTGGAAAAAGAAAGCTTCAGTCAGCACTACTTGCAATTCTAGAGGGTTTGTGACCTTCTGAGTCATTGCTAACTTGGTCATAATTGTTA